CCAAATTAAAGTAAAACATAGATGCCTTCAAATATTATAGAATCTGCATAATATACTTCTCTCGTCCAAATTAAAGTAAAACATAGATGCCTTCAAATATTATAGAATCTGCATAATATACTTCTCTCGTCCAAATTAAAGTAAAACATAGATGCCTTCAAATATTATAGAATCTGCATAATATACTTCTCTCGTCCAAATTAAAGTAAAACATAGATGCCTTCAAATATTATAGAATCTGCATAATATACTTCTCTCGTCCAAATTAAAGTAAAACATAGATGCCTTCAAATATTATAGAATTTGTATTTATACTAGCTTTATTTTGTTCCAGAGAAATGCTAAAGACAGTATATAATCAGTTTGTATTTATACATAAATACATAAATGTTTAGCAGGTTTGGACAGAGCTTGTTAGCACGATAACTTACACCGAATTTATTTGCTGTTTTAAAACCAAATTTACTGGGTAGTAAATTATACAGTATAGGTTGCAGTTAGGAACTCGTTATCAGATGGAAATTCGGAAACAACTACTAACTGACATCTTGCGTTAAACATTACAAAGAAAAGCATAAAAAGTGTATCGCTACAGCAATAAGCGTTTTCATTATTAACACTCCGCATATTTATATACCTGTTTAATCTGTATTGGGATAGGAATGAAATATTGTGACAACTACACACTGAATACTCTGAGAGAAATGTTTGATTTAAATTACTTAATGGTGTGGATTTGTAAAATATAGATGAAACATTGCTGTGTGGATGTTTAAAACGTTGCTGTGTGGATGAATAAAACATTGCTGTATGGATGTATAAAACATTGCTGTATGGATGTATAGAACATTGCTCTATGGATGAACAAAACATTGCTCTATGGATGTATAAAACATTGCTCTATGGATGAATAAAACATTGCTCTATGGATGTATAAAACATTGCTCTATGGATGTATAAAACATTGCTCTATGGATGTATAAAACATTGCTGTGTGGATGTATAAAACATTGCTGTATGGATGTATAAAACATTGCTCTATGGATGTATAAAACATTGCTCTATGAATGATGTATAAAACATTGCTCTATGGATGTATAAAACATTGCTCTATGGATGTATAAAACATTGCTCTATGGATGAACAAAACATTGCTCTATGGATGTATAAAACATTGCTCTATGGATATATAAAACATTGCTCTATGGATGAATAAAACATTGCTGTGTGGATGTATAAAACATTGCTCTATGGATGTTTAAAACATTGCTCTATGGATGAATAAAACATTGCTCTATGAATGTATAAATCACTTTTGTATGAATGTATAAAACACTACTATATGGATACATAAAATATTATTAATAAACATTACTATATGATTGTGTAAAATATTGCTGTATGGATGTATAAAACATTACTGTATTGATGTATAAGACATTGCTGTATGGATGTATAAAACATTATTGTCAAGGTAATGATTATGATATGAAATTGAATATGGAATAAGACAATTCGAAGTAAAGTTTCAGTTAAAAAAGCCAAGTAAAAGCAAACTAAAAAGAAAAGACAAAAAATAATTATCGAGACAGATGGACTAGGGATGCTTAGAAAAAACTGACAAAAACAAATAGAAAAATATTTCAGAAAAGAAAGTTCACAGGTGAAGATAATTTATGTAGCAGGTCCCTGTTTGAATAATGACTCAATGTCTGAATATTGATTGTTTCAAAGTTTAATGGTGAAGGAGATTAATGTAGCAGGACCCTGTTTGAATAATGACTCAATGTCTGAATACTGATAGTTTCAAAGTTTAATGGTGAAGGGGATTAATGTAGCAGATTCCTGTTTGAATAATGACTCAATGTCTGAATATTCATAGTTTCAAAGTTTAATGGTGTAGGGGATTAATGTAGTATGTTCCTGTTTGAATAATGACTCAATGTCTGAATATTGATTGTTTCAAAGTTTAATGGTGAAGGGGATTAATGTAGCAGGTTCCTGTTTGAATAATGACTCAATGTCTGAATATTCATAGTTTCAAAGTTTACAGGTGAAGGAGATTAATTACTCAACTTCTGAATATTTCTAGTTTGAGAGTTTACAGGTGGAAGAGATAGCTGTTTAAATAATGATTCAACGTCTGAATATTTCTTGTTTCAGAGTCAGTGGAAACAATGTCAATCATATCTCTAAATATTGAAAAACGCGGATAACTATTAGATAGTTTGGTCCGAAACCTCGGAAAGGACAGTTATTTTATGACACTGAACGTTTATGTGTTTGGCTTCACTACTTTGCACTACCTACGTACAGACTGCGAAAGCACTAAACAGTAGTCATGGGTTATACAGTTGTGTTACTAACCCTGATGAAGCTGCTAAGGCAAAACGTTGGCTAAAGTATTTTTTGTTTGTTTGTTTGTAATTAAGCACAAAGCTACACAATGGGCTATTTGTACTCTGCCCACCACGGGTATCGAAACCCGGATTAAAGTATAACATTTGTTATATATATCTGGAGAATAAAGGTTGTTTTTTTCTAAACTTTTTTATCAAAATGTGTACATCCTCCAATATGTACTACAAAATTTGAAAGACATACGTACTCGTACTGTAATGCTGCTTGATGTAATAACCAGGGTAATTTGATTGTAAAGTGAAATTCACACTTCGTGGGTTATACGATATTTAATGGTTAAAGAACGATTTCTGTAGAAGTAATCAACGT